TCGGTGGCCGCAGGTTTCTTTTGGTTTGTGTTTTGGGGCGCCGAAGAGGAAAGAGCTGTTTCTTTTCCCAGCAGGCTTTGCAGCTGTGTCAGCAGAACTGCTGGACCAGGAGACAGTCTGGGGGCCCGCCAGACCCCTAGCTCAGAGTCCACCTGGCTGAACCTAAAACAGCGATCCAGCCCCACAAGCCAGGCAGCTGGGAAGTAGCCACGTTCCTCCCCTCAGAGGACCTCCCAGGAGAGACTCAACCACAAATAAACACGCACGAGTTTGGCACTGAGGTCCGTCCACCACGGTGCTGTGGAGCCAGGGACAGCAAGATAGCAGAACTGCTTCAGCTAAGACGTGGAGGGGGGCTTGGCCGAGGCCTGGACAGGAAGGTGCAATGTCCACACTGGGTCAGGGCCACAGCCCACTCTGTCAGCAGACTGCTTGGGCACCTGCTGAAAGCAGGTTTGGGTCACCTCTCTGCCTCCTCCGTCTGAAGGACAGGGGACCTCCCCAGAGAACAAAAGGCGTGTGCTCTGTATCTCCCAGAGAGCTGGATGGGGGCGGGGCAGGAAACCCCAACAAGAACCACCACGGAAGGAGAGAAGGTTCTGGAATCTAAGAGCCGGGCTGAAACAGCAGTGGCTAAATCGCTCACATGCTGCTGGAAGCTAACAATGGCCAGGCCATGGGGGGAGGGTGGGGGAGGTCCCCGTTGACAGGGGCGGACGCGGGCTGAGAGAGGTGAGGAAGTTGACCACGGCCTCCCAAGGACTAGAACGGGTCTGGTGCATGGTCCCAGGAAGGGATGTACACGGGTTCCCGCTGCACACTAGCATCCCAAAGAGCGCCCTGGCTCCTGGGAGCCAAACGCTGCTTGGGGCGCCAGCAGTCCTTCCAGTCTGCTTGGGGCCTTGATCCTTAGCCAAGCTCATCCGTGGCCCCGGTTTGCTTGGATCAATCTGTTTGCCTGTGCGTCTCCTCCGCCTCAGCTGTGTGCACACAGGTGTAAATTAAAGAGGGGAAGAATGCAGCGGACACGGAATCCAGGCACACCTGCCTCTGGGGCCACTTGATGTCAGCCCTCACTGACACGGAGCAAGTCGCCAGGCCTTTCTTCCTCCACTCTGAAGCTGGACTGGAATCACTGACCTTTCAGTTAGTGCCCAAACAAACGCACTGCCTTACAGCCGATGCCGACTCTCAGGGACCCAAGTGCACGGGGTAGAACAGCCCCTGTGGGCTTCCTAGACTGTAACTCTGTATGGGAGTAGAAAGCCTCGTCTTTCTCCTACGGAGTGGCTGGTAGCTTCGAACTGCTGACCTTGTAGTTTGTAGCCCAATGTGTAACCAGCGCTCCAGCCAAGCAATTGCTCCAGTCCGTATTAGGAAGTAAAGGGAGATCCCAGGAGAGGCATGCTTTTCCTGAGCCACTTGGACACCAGCCCCTCTGTCCAGGAAGAAGCTGTGTTTATGTTGGATGCAGCCATTTGGGGGTCCTGGCCACTTTCATTGTGAGGTGTCCAGGACCCACAAGGTGAGAATGTTCATGAGCTGGGAGAGGGAGACATTATACAAGGCAGCAGATTCATTATACATTGAATCCAGACATAGTTGCCAAAAACCAAACCTCCTCTCCCCCCCTCCGCCCTGTCACTTGCCACAGTGGTGCTCTGGAAAGCCAAGAGCTCAGATTCACCAGGGGCTCCGTCCAGGCCAGAACGGCAACTCCTAGGCCAGCTCTCTGCCACTCTGACCATCGGGAAAGGACAGTGCCTTCACCACACAGAAATCTTGGGCCAAACGCCCGCCTCACTGGGGGCTCTTAACAAGTGCTTCTAAGGGACTTGGGAATTTCAGACTCCGGACTTCAGATGAAGTGAATGGCTACTCGGCATGTACTTGGGTCAAAAGCCATCTGTTGATCAGTGCCCTCCCACCATCTTAATTGGGGACCCTGACAGAATGGGGGAGACTTGTGGAACCGAACCATAAACCTCAGCAAAGTAAACCAACAAGCCGGCCTACAGGACTAGTCAAGATGGGAAGAAGCCCTGAGATTAGTGCCCTGAGACGCACTTCAAACTGGGAACCAGACTAGCTCCCCAGGTCTCCTAGTAGCTAGGGGACCCCCAGTGGCACTGGGAGTTATGTGTTGGGCGGCTAAGCATCTGAACCAGCAGTTCAAAACCACCAGCTGCCCCTTGGGGAAAAGATGAGGCTGTGTACTCCCGGAGAGAGTTAAAACTCACAGGGCCAGCTCTCCCCTGTCCTGTGGGGTCACTGTCGGACCTCATTCCGTGGCAGTGGTTACATGATAGACTTGGGGGGAAAGTGGGCATCACCTGGATGCACTGTGTTCCCTTTATAAATCTCCTGAGACCAAAGAGTCAACCCCCCCACCCCAAACCTCCCCCCAAAACACCAAAATCCCAGGTCACTGTTGTTGAGTCAATTCTGAGTCATGGCGACTCTACAGGACAAGGAAGGACGGCCCCTGTGGATTTCTGAGTCTGTAACTCTTCACGGGAGTAGAAAGCCCCATCTTTCCCCCAGGAGTGGCTGGTGGTTTCAAGTGGGCAGCAGCGCAACTGGTCAGGGCTCCTTCTTAGCCAGCAGTTACTGTGAAACCGGGAGGAGAGTGCTGCGAGCCAACAGAGGAGAAAGGAACCACGAGCCAACAGAGGAGAAAGGAACCACGGGCAACAGAGAGAAGGACCCTGGGGGGTGAAGAATGTAACAATGTAACTGCACAACAGAACAATGTAACTGCACAACAGAACAATGTAACCGCACAACATGGGCGGGAACTGCGGAATGAAACCGACACGCTGTGCACACCCATCCCTACTATTACAGCAGAAAGGACCAATACAGCCCAGTCACGAAATGGGTAAAGGACTTGAATACACATTGTTAGGTAGCTAGCATAGGGACCTCAGCATCCATTATGCATGCTCAGAGGTTCGAGCTTCTGGCCAGGAAGGGGTGGTACACCTAGGTGGGCATTACACCTGCATTGGCCCATCTAAGCCAGGTGAATTTGATTCAGCCAATGGGGTTGACCAGTATTGTCGATCACACCTCCCAACGGGGCCCCTGAAAAGGCCAGATGGTTTGCTCAGGCACACGCTTTCCCAGAGGCTGTGATACAATGTAGCACAGCTGGGCTGTGGTCCAGAGCCGCCAGGCTCCGGGCCCCCAGTCCCGCAACTGTGCTGTGGACTCTGTCTGGCCTGAGTTCCATTCACTGTATGACCTGAAACTGCTACTATTCTCTATAAACCCACTGGGATCACAGACCAGGCTTTGGCGTGAATTCTTTCTTGCACGGAGTCAAGGACCAAGGTGTATCTCTCCCCGGAGAGATCTAACAGCATCGCTCCAAAAAAGGAACTGAAGGGACCGCCAAAGGCAGGGAAGGTGCTCGGGGCCACGGGCCAACAGAGAGGCGCAAGTCAAACCACTATGAGTGCCCTTGCTACCCCTAGGAGGAGGGCAAAGACGGAAAGGAAATAAAACCTGGAACAAACAGCAGTGTGGTGTCTGGGGAACACGAGCCAGCGCTGACCCAGGGCTGGTGGGAATGCAAATTGAGGCAGGTGCAGTGGGAAACTGTGGTGATGGCTCGAAAGCATACAAATAAAATTTGCTCTAGGCTTAAATATTTCCTGCTTGTTCCACGACGGAAATTTCTTCTCTCGCTTTTTTACTGTGGTTGGTGGTCTTTTCTTTCATACTCTTTCATGGTGGTGGAATAATTTGGAAAAGGATGTCTGTAAGGGCTGTGCAACAATGGCACTGAATCGTACATGCAGAAGTTGTTGAATTGGAGCATGTTTCGTTGTGTGTATTTTTGCCACAATTAAAAAAAAAAATCCAAAAACTACAAGTGCTCGCCAGGCTACTAATGACCCTACAATCCCACCCCAGCCACGTGCAGCAAAGTGCTGACAGCAGAGACCCACATAGAGAAATGCACCCCGGCGCTCCCTGCACTATGATCCACCACTGCTCAAAGGTGGATGTGACCCAGGTGTCCACCATCGAGTGAGTGGCTACACAAAACGCGGCCCACACAGATGCAATGGAGAAAACCGTGCTCCAGTGTGGCCAGAGCCGGAAGATGCTACACCAAGCAAAATAAGCCAGTCACACAGGGATGAACACTGTGTGGCATCCACTATGTAAAAAAGACAAACCATCTACACCGCCCATTCTTCCATGAACAGTGAGGCGAGAGTGGGAATGATTTCAAGGACGGGGCAGCACTGAGCCGTGCTTCATCCGGCTGTGCCTGGCCCGCTGAGTCAACGACAAAAGGAGTGAAGTGGAAGAAAATTAATGAACAAGTGCCCTCCGTCTTCCATCAGCAACTATACAGGCCCACTGCTTCAAGAGCCGCCCGCCTCTGGGTGGGGGTAAGGTGTGCTTGGGCCAGAAAGGAATACGGGAGGTACCATCACTGACTCTGGGAAGATAAAGCTACACTGGGGACGTGCTCTTACCGTCCGCTTGGCGGGCACCAGTGACGGGTGGGCACAGGGGGCTGGGCAGCCGGGCAGCGGTGCTAACTCACCAGGCCGTTGATCTGAGGCCCTGCTGTGTGGGTTTGTACCTCCAACCTTTAGGTCCATAGGCCAGGGAGGATCCTGCTAAGTCCCTCCAAAACTCACTGCCACCCAGGCGAGGCCGACTCAGAGTGACCCTACAGGACAGGGAAGAACTTTCGAGACAGTGACTCTTTACAGGAGCAGAGAACCTGGCCTTTCTGCTGAGGAGTGGCTGGTGGATTTGAACTGCTGGCCTTGCGGTGAGCAGCCCAATGGACCACTGCAATGCTGCACCCCCACCCACCCACCCTCGCCCCGCCCCGAGGTCGGACATCTGAAGACGGGTCTGTGAGCCATGCTGAGACGATGAGGTCAGTCTCCCGCATCGGCACGGGGATTCGGAGACGAAAAACAACGCATGCAGCTGAGACGGTGTCTGGAAGGGAGGCGGACACCTACGCTCCAGTCCAGGGTCGCTCTGGGCTCCTTGGCGGGGCCGTTGGCCACGGAGAGGCTGGGGGCGTGTGCGGGGGCCAGGTGCTGCAGCCCTGCCCGGGAGATAGCCTTCCTGCAGAGGGGAGAGAAAACAGAGAGCCAGTGTCAAAGGGGGACACCGAGGGAGAGCGCCCTCCAGCCTCCGAGGTCTGCGTACCTAAAAACCTCTCTGCACAGGCGTGAGGCTGCGCACCTCTCCCACCACCCTCCCCCACCAGCCCC